GCAGGGCTCTCTGGCTAATTAAAATAATCAATCAGGGCCTGGGGGCAGATACGTGTGGTTTACTCCCAACTTCTGAGGAAAAACTGAGTGCAGGAGGGGGGGGAAAATTAAAATAAATGGCAAGGAATGGAAAGGCAAGGAATTTATGGGTCTGGGAGTACTTGGTGAGCTGGCACTGCCGGAGTGAGGGTGAAGCTCCTTCAGGGACTCCCAGGATGGTTTGGGTTGGAAGAGACTTCAAAGCCCATCCCATCCCGCCCCCTGGAAGGTGGGGACACCTTCCACCATCGCAGGGTGCTCCAAGCCCTGTCCAAGGACACTTCCAAGGATCCAGGGACAGCCAGAGCTGCTCTGGGCACCCTGTGCCAGGGGAGAACGTGGCAGAGTCACGCTGAGGTGAACAAAACACATTGGTGGCCTCAAAAAGGACCAGGATAAACGTTTTTCACCCAAATCTCAGTGGAGATGCTCCAGGCCAGGCTGGATGGGGCTTGGAGCAGTCTGGGATAGTGGAATGTGAAAAATGAGTATTTTATGATTGATTTTTCGTAAATATTCAAATGAATATTATTTGTGTTGTGTTAGAAAGTTATCCTGTATTAATTTTCTTAAGTAGTGTGTTAAATATAGTTTTAGATTATAACATAATGTTAAAATAGAAACTATAGATACTTTTTTTTAAAGGAGGACTTGCACTGGGACAGCAGCCACAGGACACCTAAATCTTTCAGAGAAAGAGAATTTATTTCTCCATTATCAGAATAAATTAACTTCTTCCTGCCTGGCTCAGCCCTGAAGAGGAAGAAGTTGAGAATGACCAGACAGAATCCTGTGTTTGAATGGAATTTATGCATCATGGATGAGGTGTATGAATATGCAACAGGCTGTTGTTTTTAAGGGTTAATCCTCTGTTAATTCCTTTTTCGAACTTATTTTGCCCAGAAAGAGGTACCTGGAGAGCCCTTAACTCTTTGTTTTTATTGTCTCGTATTGTCCTAATCCAAATTGTCCAAATTTTTATTACCCTAATTATACTTTTATAATAATTTTATTACTATTAAACTTTTAAAATGTTAAAAACTAGTGGTTGGAATTTTTCACATTGAAGATGTCCTTGCTCATGGCAGCAGGGCTGGACTGAAAGACCTTTAAAGGTCCCCTCCAACCCTTTAAAGTCCTTTTAAAGCCAAAATAAACCTCAGTTTAATGATTCATCATGAGGGTTATCCAGTTCCTGACCAAGTCCCACACATGACAAGGAAGAGGCATCTGGTGATTTCAGGGATTAAGGGGATCCAGAGGCCTCAAACACGGGGCTGATCCCTTCAGGTCAGACGTGCCTCACATCTGTGGGATGGGTTGTGAAGCGTGACTCCGCTTCTGCAGATCTGAGGAGGACAAAAATAATTCTAAAATAATTCTAAAATGATTCTGCCTGCCGGGGGAAAATGTCCGCACGCAACTCCCCTGCCCGGGGATGCACTGAACATGCCAGTGGAAGTTGAGTTTTTAAAATCAATTAAAACCCTGACACTCTGCCTGGAGCAGTTGGGTTTGTGCAGCTCAGAACTCCTCGGTGGAGAACTGCAGCCGACTTACACGGGAGCCTTCTGAAAGCTTCCACAAAAGGCAGGAACTGCACTCAGTGCTCCCCACCCCGGAGGAGAAATGATCTGAGGAAATATTGGAAGCAACAGGGAGAGTCAGACTCCCACCAGGAGATAATTTTGTCTCTCGTTTTAAGCTAGAAAAGGAGATTTAGCACAAATTCTGCAGTCGGTGGGTTTTACCCTCTTGATATGAAACACATAAACAAGAATTGAAAACATCTTGGTTGTAACACCACGCCACTGCAAAAAAACCCCAAAAAACCCCTGAAATATGAGGCTCAGAACCATTAAAATTGCTTTAAAATGATCCTTGAATGGGAAAAACCCCCTGGATCAGCCATTGCCTGCTCCTTAATGGATGCTGCTGGCAGGGAGCCAGCCTGGAAAGACAATTAATTTGTTTACAATAATAAATAATAACATCCAGCCTCCATCAAAGCGTGGAGCCCATCAGCATTGGTGAGCCATCAAAAGCTGCTAGCTGGGACCATCCTTCTCCTTAATAACCACTCATTTTGATGGGAAGAAAACATTCCAGAAGCTCTCAGGGATGTCTCCTTGGAAAGCCACGAGTGAGTGACTCCATGCATGGAGTGGGTGCTGTGGTAATTAGCTGCAGAAAGTCGTTATCCTCCAAAACAGCTGCACACCCCGACTTTTTAAGGAGTTTTTAAATTTTTTGGGGGGATTTTCAGCTGCTGGAGTTTGGCCAAAAAAGTATCAGGTGCATCATCCACACCGTGCTGAGATAAGAAACAACAGAGGCTTTGAAGGAAAGGAAAAATCCCACTCTGCTGCTCCAGAGGGAAGTGATTTGCATTTTTTTGGAGATGGAGCAACAGGTTTTTATGGCCAGTGACCACCTGGGTGGGAAGATTTATCACCTCGTTGAGAACCCTACAAGAACAGGCTGCAAGAAGCTGTCCAGGCACTTGTAGCCTAATTTAGGATCGATTTAAACAATTACAGCCTGAAATTTAATGCCGAATAATTTTGAGACAAATGAGTTTCACGGTGATTCAAAGGAAAAGGGTTTCAAGTGTTTTACATCTGAGGAGGGAAGAATGGAAAACAAGGCAGTAAAATGGAATATTTAGAGAGGACTTTTTTTTTTTTTTAAGGATAATCTTTACAGGAGTGGGCGATTCATCTGTGAGGACACAATGCTTGAAAATCTTTTATCTCTCATCTAATTCAGCTCAAACGTGTGCTGACAGTGATCCCAAAGCAGCTTTATCAGTGGGGGCTGATAAATTCCCCAGTGCTGCTCCAATCCCAGCTGGAGAGGCTTCAGAGAGATCTTTGGGATGGCAAAGAGTGGGGTGGCTAAACCAGGAACAGGGAAAAGCTGGGGGAGAGCTTCATTCACCACATTTCCATCACATCCACGAGGTGATGGGGCAAAGATGAGGCTCCAGCACTGTCATGCAGAAATAACCTTTTTTCCCCCCCTCCCTTTAATGGAAAATCAATAGGATTATTTTAGGGAGCTATTTGGATGAGTTGGTTCAAAGAAGCAGCAATTTTTCTTCTCTGTTCAGAGAATTACCCTTCTGTGATGTCGGGAACAAGGAGACCTCCTGACCACAGACAGTTTGACCAAGAATAATTCCAGTTCAAAATAATTTCCATCCATTCAAGAGAAACAAACTGTAGGAACGGGACGAGAAAATTCCCAGCCACTCTGAGTCTTCAACCCTGAATGAACTTTGAGGAAATATATTGATATTATGGCACACATTTTCATGTGAAATGAAGCCATGAGCCACAAAAAATACTTTATCCATATTAAGGCTGGTAAAGCTTGGGAAGGAAACAATCCAGGGATTCTGTGCAGCACCAAAACATCATTTCAGCTCCTGTAAAGAGAATTTTGGCCTCTTTCTAAAGAAGCTGTTCCCCCCTCCAGGGACTTCTGGAATTTGATTTTATTTTGGCTCTGGAATGACCATCCCAGCCCTGCTGCACCCAGACAGGCACAGTTAGTGACCATTAATCCATCAAAAATTCTGGAAATGGTAACAATAATACAGTTATGGTATTAAAATATCCCTGTGTTTTACAGCTGTAAACTGGGATGGAAAATGGCCACAAATCTTGGGATAAAGGTGCTGCTTCCTCAGGACTCTGCCAGCATCACCCATCCCTGATGAGAGGATTTCCCAGGAAAGAGGGAATAACTTCAAAGGATTAAAAGAGCTTGACGTGACCAACAGCCAGAGTCAGTTCATTCCTTGCAGTCCCAGGCAACTCATGAAATATGGAATTTTGGGGTGGGATTCCTGTTCCCCATGGAGCTGGGGTGACAACTTGCTGCTGTTATCACTGCTCCACACTGGAGTTCAGAAGAGGTGTTTCAAAGGAGACCTCTCCTACAAATGTTCCATCTGCAACCCAAATCCCTCACAGCTTTTCCTGACGGAGGGAGCCGTGGGGCTCCACATCAATCACCAACGTGCTTGGGAGGATCAGATCCCATCCCTGCTCCTCCTGGGAGCTTGGAATGTCTGTTCAGCCTGGTGGCACAGCCCTGGGACTGGCAGGTGTCCCCCGAACTTCTCAAGGAGACACAAAAAATGAGACACGAAAAATGAGACATGAAAATATTCCTCATGGCCAAGATCCCATCCATGGCTGCCCTCTGGCACTGGCAGCCATTCCCTGGCTCCTGTCCCTTGTCCCCAGTCCCTCTGCAGCTCTCCTGGAGCCCCTGCAGGCCTGGAATGTGCTGGAAGCTCTCCCTGGATCCTTCCCTTCTCCAGGGAACATTCCCAGCTCTCCCAGCCTGACATTGGATCCATCTCCTCTCCAGGACATTCATGGACCCAGGGCCTTCACTGGGAATCTCAGGAAACCATGAAGGGTCTCCCTTCCCTTTTCCTCTCTTTTCCATCCCCATTTTCCATAAAAATCCCTGGGGATGGCTTCTGAGTGTCCCAAATCCCAGAATCCCAGAGCAGTTTGGGTGGGAAGGGACCTCAAAGCTCATTCCAGGGACACCTCCCCTGTCCCAGGCTGCTCCAACCCTTCCTTGGGCACTGCAGGGATCAGGGGCAGCCCCAGCTGCTCTGGCAATTCCAGCCCAGCCAGCAATTCCTCATGGCCAAGATCCCATCCATGGCTGCCCTCTGGCACTGGCAGCCATTCCCTGGCTCCTGTCCCTTGTCCCCAGTCCCTCTGCAGCTCTCCTGGAGCCCCTGGAATGTGCCGGAAGCTCTCCCTGGATCCTGTTCCTCTCCAGGTGAGCACCCCCAGCTCTCCCAGGCTCGCTCCAGCCCTCAGAGCAGCTCCATGGACCTGCTCCAGCAGCTCCACATTTTTTCCTCATAGGATGCACACCCAGGTCATGGCTGACAACAGGGCTGTCCTGAGGGCTCCCTCAGCTCCTACCTGCAGCAGAGGCCTCTGCACTCCCAGGATCTTCATGGTGTCAGCGTTGGCCAGGATCTTGAGGGGATCCGAGGCCTTGGTGACGCCTTCGATCTCCTTGTTGATCTCGGCCAGGACCTGGTTGAGGAAGATGTTCTTGATGTACATGGTGAGGAACTCCCTCAGAGGGCACTGCTTGGCTGGGCCCAGCTCCATGGCCAACTCGATCTCCTGGATGAACCTGGAGCACAGAAAGAGAAAGAAAATTGTAATTAAATCGTGGAGATGATTTGGATTTGTTGGCGTTGCCTTTGCCACTCCAACATTTCAGAGCCAAGCAGTGTGGGAATGACCATGGACTGTCCCAGCTTGAGGAATGAAGAGGAGAAAATGTCCACAAGGTAGTTTTAGAAAAAAAATAAACAAAACAAAAAAAAACCCAAGAAGAGATAAAATACAAACAGTTGGTGAGATAAACACTAAATTGCTGGAGAAGGACAGATAAAATGAGAGAAAATCCACATCCCAGGCACAATTCCTGTTTGTGCCACAAAAATTTGGCTTTTCCATGCAGGAGAAAAGGTCCACAAGGTAAAAAGATAAAATACAAACAATTGGTGAGATAAAGACTAAATTGCTGGAGAAGGACAGATAAAATGAGAGAAAATCCATATCCCAGGCAAAATTCCTGTTTGTGCCACAAAAATTTGGCTTTTCCATGTGGGACATGCTGGGAAGATGTCCTCACAGAAAAATTTGGCTTTTCCATGTGGGGCATGCTGGGAAAATATTCTCATAGAAAAATTTGGCTTTTCCATGTGGGACATGCTGGGAATATGTCCTTATAAAAAAAATTGGCTTTTCCATGTGGGACGTGCTGGCAAGATATCCTCACAGAAAAATTTGGCTTTTCCATGTGGGGCATGCTGGGAATATGTCCTTATAAAATTTTGGCTTTTCCATGTGGGACATGCTAGGAAGATATCCTTATTAAAAAATTTGGCTTTTCCATTTGGGACGTGCTGGGAAGATGTCCTTATAAAAATAAAATCAACATTAAAAAAGCTAAGATGCCACAAATCCCTTTAAAAAGCCAAGCTTCCTTCTGGGCTTGGTCACTTGATTCCCACAGGTGGGTTCCCCCACCTCTAAGCTGAACAACAGAATATTCCAGCCCAAAATCCTAAAAAACCCCATTAAATAAAAGCAATATCTATGCATGATGCCATTATCCTCCTGCATTATGGATGCCTGTGTTATGGTGTATTTTTATCACCCTTTATTGTTCCATCCCAGGATCCCATCCTGAGCACACAGAGCAGCAGGATGACTCTGGGAATATTTTAGCACCAAATGTTTGCCATCTCCTGCAAAATCTCTTTATTTCTGTGCTGCCATCTGGTTACCACGGAGGAGTTTATTCCAGAAATTACCTCGTCATGTCTTTAACTACATCTGAGGCAGTGGAATTGGTGTTCCTTTCAAAACAATTAGGGATTGAGTATCAGGAGCCATCATGGACTGAGATATGCTGTCCTGGGTTGTGCTGAGGAAGGTTTAGGTTGGATATTTGGAATAATTTTTGCAGAGAGAAGTCAGGAAGCAGAGCAGGGAAGTGTGGAGTCACCATCCCTGACAAAAAACAGGGATGTGGCACTGAGGGCATGGTGAACAAAACCATGAACATGGTGAACGTGGTTTGGTTGGATTTGATGATCCTAGAGCTCCTTTCCAACCTCAAAGATTCCATGATTTTATTCCTTACCACTGACCTTATTCCCAAACCCTTCAATGAGATCTGCTTAATTATCCATAATTTTCTACCTCCACGTTTCTCACTCCAAAGGAGGTGCTTCCCTTCCCAGCACTGACTGAGGAGCCAATTCCATGGATGATTTCTTTCCAATCTGAGCTCTTTTCTCCCTAAATCCTCTCCCTGTTGACTCCAGGGGTCTGGAGTGACACCTTTGGACAATGCAGCTTCCGTGGGGGGATCCCTTTGGAGCTCTCCAAGGGGAGAGATGCTGCAGGGGGGGAATCACAGAGGCAGGCAGCCTGATTCCCTGGATTTCACAGGGTGAGAATGGGAATCAGCTTTGCAAAACAGGGAAACAGTGGAATTTTCTGGGAAAAGAGCAGAGACTCCATGGATCTGATCCCAGAAATATCAGAGCTGATGTCACCAGCTCTGTGTGACACCACTCATGTCCTTAAGGGGACATTGCCAGGGTTGGTGGGACTGGGTTGAACTCATTTACTGTCCTTTCATGGCTGTCAGTAAATCTCTCACTCTTCCTTTATAAGTTTATTTACAGAGCACAAAACTCCCCCAAAATGTGAATTTTACTGTTAAACCCCACTCAGGTGGGAAGGAGAAGATCATTAGCTCATACTGGGAATAAGCATCATCCAGCAGTGACAGGAACAACTTTTAAACACTTTTAAAATCCAGAAAATGCTTTAAAAATGGCTAAACCAAGTAAAAGAAGCTTTTTAGAGGAAGAATGACTACATGCAGACCACCAGAGCTCAGATGTGCTGACCCACAGCAGGAGTGGCATCTCCTCATCCCGCAACATCCTGATGGTGTTCCCAAGTGTCTCAGACTAAATGTCAGTGCTGGAAAATGCTGTCACCAAGAATTTTTGCTTCCCAGTGCCTGGCATTAATCACCATTCCAGATCCTTCCTGGAGATCTGTGCCTTCATCTCCAGACAACTTCTCCTTGGTGTGTCCTTTTAAGTTTTAACGTCTTGGCACGGACAGGACAAGAGTTCACCTAATGCTGGTCAGGATCAAACCATATCCCTGTTTTCCTTGAGAGGAACCATAAAATAATCATGGATTATGAGGGAGCTGCCAGACAGCACAGAGTGAGAGGGGATTTGTGAGTGCTCAGCACCACTTGTGATAAAGAACAAATGATCAGGAGCTTAGGAAGCAGATTTCAACTGGACAGTCTCGGATCGCCTCTGGTCAAGAAGACCCTGAGTTGTATTTAAAGTCTCTTTTCTCCAGCCCAGCTGTCCGAGAAGGAGTCAGAAGTCTTTGGCTGTCGTTCTCAACGTTGTTTATTATTTCTTATCTCAAACATTCTCTCTCTGGCCTGCCGAGGTCTGTTCTGCAGGTCGGCCTGAGGCACACTGCCCTCCCACAGGGCTGGTGTTGTCTTTTATACTACAAACTACATATTCGATATTTACAGTTATGTTCCAATACCTATCACCTATGTTAGACAGTGACTTTCTACTCTAAGCCAATCCCAAAGTGCCACCATCACCAAGAAGATGGAGGCTGGAAAGAAGAAGGAAGAAGAACAGGACAACGCCCAGATCCCTCCATCTTGTCTCCTGGACCCCTGTAGTAAAAATCATCAAAATTTCTCTTTTCACCCTATAACTACTACTATTGTGCTGTCTAAACTTTTGTGACCTTTAATTCTTCATATAAAGTTGGTAATTTGCTCCGTGGGTTGAGATGGAATTCCCAGGTGTCTTTGGCTTCCTGCCAGGGTCTCCGAGCCCCTGCCAGGATTTTGAGCCATCCAGGGCACCCAGAGGGATGTCCTGGGGTTCCACAGACAGCAGCAGGGAGTTATTAAGAATGAAGCCTTGCAGGGCATGGAAAACTGGAGGATAGGGATGGGAGACCTTCAGTTGGGATGCTCAAGGATAGTTTGTTGAAATTATTATGGGAATGGAAACCAGTGAAGTCTTCATTTAATCCCAAAGATCTCTGCTGAGGGAAATGGGAGCAGAGAAAAGGTAAAGGAAAATTAGAACTATGGATGTCAGAGTGTGGCTTCCAGCAGGGAACAGCCCAGGAGTTCCTGGATTTGATAATCCAGTGGGACAAGTTCCTTTTTACAGCCTCAGGGGACAACTGGGATCCTGTTTGCTGGGGTCTGCTGTGGTTCAGAGATGACCTCTCCAAATTTCCAGCAGGCAGAGTGAGTCCCACACTGCTCTGCACCCAGGCAGCCACTCTGGAGCTTCAGCCTCCAAAATCCCACTGGGCACAGGACCAGGGGCTCAAGCAGAGTCACAAAGTTCCAGGTGTAGGTGCGACTTGACCAGGAATCCTTCTGGGACACTGAAAGCAGCACTGGTGCACCCTTCACGTCCTGGATTGGGATGATTACTCAGAATTCCTCTAAGAACAGATTAAAAATGGAAAATATGATTTTTTTTAAATTTTTTTTTTTTTTTTATTTCAGAGAAGGAAGAGTTGCCCCTGGATCCCTGGAAGTGTCCAAGGCCAGGTTGGATGGGGCTTGGAGCACCCTGGGACAGTGGGAGGTGTTGATGTTGGAACTGGATGATCTTTAAGGTCCTTTCCAACCCAAACCATTCCAGGATTCCATGAATTAGGGATGCAAAGTCTAACTGTCACCTGAATAAATGTGACACCAAGAGTGACTCTTTTGTCACAAAGTCCCACATGGCTCTCTGCTTCCCAGCTTCCCTCTTCCTGCCTTCTCATCCCATCACATCCCTGCTGTTTGTGGGAATTTCACCATCAGTTTGTGGGAATTAGAAAAGGTAAGAAGAATTTTAGAAAGCTGGGAAAGCAGGCTTTAGAAACAGAAAGAACAAAAAATTCAGAGCTAGCTGCAGCTACAGTAAAAAAAGCTATAATAATAAAAAAAACACTTTTATTTTCCATGGTTCCCAATCCCACTTGGTCGTCCTGTGTTTGTCTACCAGGAGCCCAGCAGATTTGGGAGCCCAGAAAAAAACTATGATGGGAGAGAGCTGCCAGCTCAGGAACCAGCCCTTGCCTTTGGCTGGCCTTGCTGAGCTCTGGTTGGAATTGTGTCCATTGGGAATTTTGGCTGGAATTGTGTCCATTGGGAATTTAGTCTGGGATCGTGTCCATTGGGAATTTCGTCTGGGATCATGTCCATTGGGAATTTTGGCTGGAATTGTGTCCATTGGGAATTTAGGCTGGAATTGTGTCCATTGGGAATTTTGGCTGCCATGAAGAAGAACTGTGAACCTGACACTTCTTTCAAGGGGTCCAAATAAGCCAAATTTGGGGTTATTTTCCACGCCCTTTATCCAACAATTCCTCTTGCTGGGAAATGTGGAGATAGAAATTCCCAGCCAAAGGAAAACTCAGCAGAATTCAACCAGAATTTCTCCTCCTTCTCGGAAAAAAACAAGTATCTCAGATGTATTTCTCTAAAAAAACAGCCCCAGTTGGCAATAAAAGATCAGCCAAAGTACGAGAAACTGAAAA